GTCCCCACCACCCAGAAGAGCTTAAATTTAACTAAGAACAAAGAGATGGAAGACAAAGGTGACTCTTCTCGTTTGAATGGTTCTCAAAATGCCGTGACTCGCCGTGAGTATAGAAGAATCATCACTGTTTTGTTCTTATTGCTTGCTATTTGGTGGTAAAGAAGTGGAAGAAACCTAAGCCACACCCAAATCTTGGTCCACCCACCGCCACTGGTAACGATATTAAAGAATGCTGCCAAGGCAACTCTGAATTTCATTTATAAAAATGTTTTGTCTTTTTATTTTGTTTGTGTATTTACAACTAAACTGCCAAACTTCTTTCTCACGTCCAGCAGATTGAACTATCTGTCAGTTTATCTTAGCGAGTCTGAGTTATTTGTTTATGTTTACGTCCGCCTTTGTTTCTCTCATTGTTGATGAGAGATGATTTTTTTTTTCTGTTGTCAGGCTATTACAATATGTATGCTTCTTTTACTTGTGCTATTATAATATTGTCCTAGTTTTTGGTTATTTGTACCCAGATTTAAATAGTCTTTGGACCAATTAATATACTCTCTGAGAGAAAATATAAGTCTTTTCCTCTCAATGTTTTAGTTTTCAATTTTATAGGATACTAACAGAAATAATAAATGTTCACATCTGAAGAAATAGTATTAATTGTCATTACTACAATATTTTTAATACAAACAAAAAACTTTGCCATGCCAACAGGTTATCACCATCGGTGCTTCGCTCAGTTCTGAGAAAATGGAGTTTGAGTTCAAGCAGGCAGTGAACGCTCTTAACAGACGGCACCTCAAGTCGCGCATTCTCTTCAACTCTACAACAATTCTAATGGACAGTAATCCGATCCGATCAGCACTTGACATCTGTGACAAACTCCTAGCTCAGCATGTGTACACAGTGGTGGCTTCTCATCCCAATTCCACTGACCACTCGCCCATCTCTGTGTCGTACACCTGCGGCTACTACAACATTCCTGTTGTTGGGATCTCTGCCAGAGACTCAGCTTTTTCTGATGTAGTATGTGATATTTAAAATTGTTCTATTGTTTTTATTTTTGACTTTTGAATTGTTTTAAGAGGGTTAGCAGGTCAGTCTCAGCATCCATAAGACATTTTTCTTTCTTTGGAGCTCGGAACTTTATTCATAGATACAGTCGAATTTGTTAGAATGGCCACGTGTCTTAGACAATCACCTGTACAAACAACTACTCCCCCCCCCTAATCCTCCTGTTCAAAATGTTCAATTGCCTATGACAACCACTTTCCCCCCCCACCTTGCATTTTTTCCACATTATAAAGACACCATCCAAGACATCACCTGTCTCACACCATCACTGTTCTCCTTGACAATAGGTGGCTGTCTAGTACAATTTCTACTATATATGAGCAATTGCCAAAACGTGAGACTCTCTTGAGACTCGGTGGTTCCAGAATTTTTTTCTTACCAATTTGACTCCCTTTTCTGTCAGTCTCAGATTGACATTTAGAGCTCATATTCCTAGAGTATCAGAGCAAGGAGATGTAGGGTTTTGGAGATATGGGTCTATTGGTTTGGCAACCACTGTATTTCTTGTATGTAACAGTGATGACAAAAACAGATAAGCAGCAAGGCAAATTATAGACTTTAAATTCCATTTGTTTAGTAATCAAAGACTTTGTACACTATGAACTCCATTCATAATGGTAATATGAATGGCAAGCATTGTAACAATGACGCAGTGCACAGAACATGTCATCATTGTTATGTACAAGAAAGGATACACATTGGACATTATCATTGACAACACATCACAATAGTGAAAGGCTGTACAAATACAGTTATCAAAGCCTCAGCACCAGAAAAACACATGTGTAAAACAATTTTTTAACTAATATGAGGCAAAAGCACACAATTAATGGGGCTGACTTGTGCATAACAGTGATGACAAACATGACTTGTACATAACAATGATGACACAATGTACAGGAAAAGACAAAGTCATACCTCCAGAGAGAAATGCACACTTTAAGAATTAAAAAAAAACCCAGGAGAGGTTTCTTTTGCTTTGAAACAGATATCAGGTCATATCAAAGACAGTAGACAATCACAATTACGTTGCTAATTATGAGAAACAGTACTCGTACATAACAGTGATGACAAAACATACTGGGAAAAGGTAAAATCATGCCTACAAAGAACAAATTTGCACTATGAGATACACAGATCAATAAAGGCGCATTTTGTTTCTAAATGAATCTTGCATATATGAAATATATGTTGAAAACTTATTGATGTTAGCAATTATGAAAAATATTACTTGTACATAACAATGATGACACAATGACATGCAGCCGTACAAGACTGACTGACGTACTAGAAATTACATTGTCCTTTGAGCAAACATTTTTTATATCATGTGTGCTCTTTTTACTCAAACAAATAGACAAACATGTCCTTGTTTATCTGTCTATTTCAAAAGTACGCATTTGTTCTTTGTTGGCATGATATGCCTTTTTCCAATACATAGTCTTCCCTCTAGGCACATGGCTGAGAGGAAGTAGTCGAGGCAGGAGGAGCAATAGATTTTTTGCCATTTGGATGGGAGCCTTGAGCTTTCTTGTGGCAGGTCAAGTTTGTAAATTTCTGTGCCTCAGTGATTGATGGATGTACTATATGATCCCTGTCACCAGAAAAATAATGAGTTTGACTCTGCTGTACAGAGGGAAGAATGAAATTTTGGGGTTACTCATTTTGCTCATTTCATAATGATAAATAGCATTTATATAGGGCATATCCATGCTTTACAGCATGCTTTCAGGTGCTTTAGAACTATCTTCCATTTACAACTATAGCACGGTACTTTGCATTAAAAGCAATGGAACTGTGATTGTGAGCAGGGGCGAAGCGTCTATATAATCAAATAATCACTGCTTCCCTTTCTAATTTTGAAACATTGTCGCTGTCAAATTCATCCTTAAACGTAAACCTCATAAATTAAATGTCAAAAGACGTTCGTAATCAACAAATAAAGTGAGGCTGGAATAGAGTTGAAGGGAACATGTGCATGGCAGTCAAAGCTGTTTCATTGCCACATATACCCTGTTCACCCCTTTGGGGCCACAGTTAAAATCAATCACCAGCCCTGATTAAGTAAGCTAACTAACACTGGTCGAGTCTACCTCACAAATGTGAGGGGAACTAACTCTTAATAATCTCTTGACTGCTGCTTGTGCTTGTTTTTTTTCCTCGACTTTTTACCGTCCTATAATCAGATCGTGACCTCGATTATGACACCAGCTCCTGGCCGCGAAAGGCTAACAAAAACGGCCAAATGTGAAATTTAAAAAATAATAATTGTCATGTTCTACCAAAGAGTTAGACTCACTGGTAGATCTATAACATATAGATCTAGTACTGACATCTCTGCTTCTTTGCTTTATGTTTATGTATTCACATCTAAAGTTAAGTTTAATTTTAGTGGGAACTGATATTTAATAAGATACTTTCCCGATTATTTTGGCGGTTGAACATACAATATGAATTCCGGATTTGTTTTCATTCACAACTCAGAGTCGCCGCCTCGAGTAAGATTCTTGTGTGATATCTACAGGCCCTATCTGGTCCCATTTCACTTTGATTACCCTGTCAAACAAGTCAGCCTTCGCCCCTGATTGTGAGACACATGTGTTAGAGTAAAAAGTTGACTGAAACCTTTGCATAGTACGTAGTGTTAACAGGTACTTTATGGATTCTCCTTCTTTGTATATTTTTAAATCTTGAATGTTCACAAGTGTCTACAAGAATGCTTTCGTACACTACAAAAATTGTATTTGTTTTAACAGTTATATGATTCTTTTACTTTGCATGTTTTGGTTTCAGAATGTGCACAAGATGTTTTTGCGGACTGTGCCTCCTTTTGCCCATCAAGCTGATGTGTGGTTGGAGTTGCTGGTCAACCTGACCTGGCATAAGGTCATATTTGTGTACAGTGCTGATGAGGAAGGCAGATCAGTACTGAGTCGATTTCAGACACTGGCAGAGGAACATAACATTAGGGTAATTATTGTAGATTGAAATGACTTTATTTCATTTGTTCAGTTGTGGTATTTGCTGGCAAATTAACGTGCTCAGGGATTTTAGCAATCAGCCCCCATAACATATAAAAGCTTCTGTAACTCTAAAAAAGGGGGCTATCAAATGTTTTTTTAATAAATCATCCCAAAAAAATCTTAGCGATTACTGTAAAATGAGAAATAAAATAAGCCACAAGTGGTGTTAAAATTTTATTTGAAATTTAATCCCATTTGAAAATTAAAGTGCTTATCAAAATGATTTTTTATGAACTTCACAGAAATTTTGAAAGGGCTAAGGCGTATTTTTATAAATCAGTTTCTTATCTCTCTATTTTCGTTTTGCTTTATGTTCAGATTGAGCCTTCCGTGAAGTATGCGCCTGGGGAAAAGAATTACACTTCCGTTCTGGCACCGATTCTCAAGCACACCTCCAGAGTTATTCTGCTGTCAGCCTCGTAAGTTTCCTGTTTGCACAAAATAAGATGAGGCAACATTGTCTTTTTGTCAGGTTAACTTTCTCAGATGTATTGCTGATATATCGGTAACTTCAGGGAAACACAATTTGACATAATATAGATATACCTAAAATTCAAAAAGGGTCTAAATCTTGTTTCATTTTTTCCATTTGATTGCTTTTGTTAAATCAATGAACACGAACAGTTAGTTACCTTTCCGGTGATATGTAATTGCCACTACAATGTTATCTACACCTTTTGTAAAGCTGTTTATTTCCATAACTCCAAATGATTCACAGGGTTAAAAATAAATTTTGTTCAAATGGTTTCAACTGCCCAAAAAAAATTACATCATGAATGGAAGAGAAGTTTTAGTTGATTTTGTATGTGGATCACTGCATCCATTTTGTATGTGAAAGGTATGATGTGCGGATTCCTTGCAGTCTTCACTTCATGAAACTTGAATTCTCATGTATGAAAGTATACAATAGCTTTTTATTTTGGACACTTCCCACAATTGGGAGAGGGGATTGACTTGAAAAAGAAATTTTATTATCCCTTCATTGAAATAACCCATGGTGAGGGTGAGTCGTATTTGTGTTAGCCCAGCCTTAGCCATATGGATCAAAAGTTATTCGTAAGGTAAGAGGGGGTTATCTGAAAAGTGTCTTTAGTTATGTACTTTGTTTGAATTACTTTAGTATTTTTTAAAATGTTGCAGGTGGAGTTCTATTGGTCACTAAAAGAGGGTTAGAATATGCACTTCTTTTTTTCTTTAAAAAATCTGTTAAACAGCAATAGATAAACTTTTAAACTTTGTTCTTTGTTTATGAATTGCAGTACTGAAGATGCTGAGGTGATTTACAGAGATGCTGATGTGTTGGGCATGACAGGGGAGGGGTGGGCATGGATTGTGTCAGAACAAGCATTCGATGCCTATAATATTCCTGTTGGTGAGTGCTTTTCAAAGACTTTCCTTCTACAAAGTAAAATGCAATGCATTTACTCAAATGCTTGTGTAAATTATTTTTTAATGGATAACTCTTTAACGAAAATCAAATACAAAAAATTGTATGTATGCAGTTCACATCTAAAAATGAGAATCTGTGTTTTTTTAAAGACATGAACAATCTGTGAACTTAATGGTTTTTCTGTTGTGTTAACAGCTTCTTGGAGAGCAGTATGGGTGATGGAAAGCTTCATGGATGTTGCAGTAAAATTTCTTTACAATATTGAAGATGTATATTAACTCTTCAGGTGGCAGATAGAATGTAACCAGGAAGTTCCCCTGGCAGCGAAATATTTTTCTAAGATTTTCATAAACTAAGGTAGGTCAGAAAAACATCCATTAAAAGGTAACCTGAGAAGGTACAGACACAAACAACCAATGAAGTAATCAGAATTGATTACACAAGTGATATGTGTAGAAAAATAGAATGTAAAAAATGTAGCTACTCACTTTTTTATTTGTTGATTCCAAAAGTGTCTAACTTTTGGGTTTGTTACCACCTTGGTGTGGTAGGCCTCAAAGCACGCAGGAATACACAGAGGAACCTGGCAATGTTTACTTTCATAAGTAGTTTGTGACTGTTTTGCGCCCTCTGTGCTACCTTTCAGAACATTACACACAACACAATCCCTCACTGGTTTTAGTCGCTTTTCTCCTGGCTTCGGAGTGCACAATTTGGGGAAGTGGGAAAAGTTTTTGTTCAGCCTGTAAGGGACCTCCGTAAATATTCTCCCACTGCTTGATGAGCCAGGGTTGCCTGGTGCAGCTAAAATAAGTTGTTTCACAATTTGTCTTTTGAATTCAAATTGATCCACTGGGTTCAAAACACTTTTTTGGTATAAAATGTAAGAATTACACAACATACTGCAAAACAAATGAGTAAAGAATTTCTTCAATCACTTCACGGAGCGCCTCATGCATGAATAAATTTTGAGCAGCTGGTCACTCAAACCAACACCTCCCATGTTCTTCACATACTGAACAATAGCTTCTGGGTTTTTTATTGCGACTCCTTGTTTGTCGCGCTTGTTCAGGGTCTCATCTGTGGCGTCATGTATCGTTGTGAGAATATGCACATCTTGCTTGTCTCTGTGGCGTATTGCCAGCATATTTTCATGTTGCCTGAATATGGTTTGGCCTTCAGTTAGCTTGATTTGGGCAGCATTTTTCAGGGTGTAAGGCATCCCTTTGCGGATTTTTCTTACAGTTCTGTAAGCCCCGGTGCTAAGAAAATGTAGCTCTTGGAACAGCTCGGGTGAACCGTAATAGTTGCCGAGGTAAACATGATGACCTTGGTGCAGTAGACCACAATATGCCAATTATCCGACTACTAATTTTTGTTATGTTGAAGGGGCTAGCACAATAAGAAAAACACATGCGAGATCCATGAACGGGTGTTCTGAGACCTCTTTGTTTAATTGACCTACATTGCATAACACACAGGCGGGTAACACCGACTTGAAATACTAATACCGTACTTGGTGTGATAACCGTATCTAGGACACTACAATTTTGTGGTGGTGTTGCAGTCCCCTGAAATATCAACAAGCTCATGAAAATATTCTTCTGCTGGCCCACCTGTATAAACGTTCATGCCAAGGATGTATCCTGATTCTGATTCGCATACCTCATAGATTTCGGTGCCAAATTTTGACGGCTTTTGGGAGTTGTAAACTTAAAATCATAGACGTCCCTTGTAGGCACATGTGCCTTCATCAAAACTAAGATTTTGGGAAGGTTGATATGCATCCAGAGACTTTTGCCTGAGGTGAGTAAGGAAAGGTCTTACTTTGAACAAGGGGGTCCTCATCTTTGTCGTCCTTGTTGTCCACAAGAAGAAAATGTGATGAAATAGTTTCAAATCTACACAGTGCCATGTGCTGAGGGAAAAAATCAGTTGCACAAATAGGATCTGAAGACCAATACTGGTCAACATCATCTTTTTTCACATGTCCTGTTGCCATAACTAAAGTCAAATACACTCTCAGCTTGGCTGGTGTAACATCATACCAGCTGTGCAATCTGGAATTAGGTGGCTAGTCAAATGTGACATCACCCTTTTGCTGTGCATAAAGATTTGTCTGTTCACACCACTGAGCAATTGTTTGATCATCAATGAAATATTTGAAAAAATCAAACGGTTGTGGTTCAGGACCGAGGTCTAGTTTTACCTTTGATTCTCCTGTGAAAGGCTGAACTAAGGGTGGTGAAGAAACACAAATCCAACCTTCCTGTGTAATCGGCTCTCTGTTGATGATATTCCTCTCCTCAATTACAGGTATTGGAATTTCATCTTCTGCATCAGATTCAATGTAAATACTGTTCAAAAACTGTCTAATATGTTGATTAGATTCAGCAACAGCGGTTCAACATTGTGGCAGCCATATTTGCACGCGCTGAAGGAAATGAGCACATGCAGGTCTTAACGACCTCGGAATTTAATTTTAAAAAACAAAAACGCTTTAGACAAAGAAAAATTTCACAAACGGCACGTATTTTAATACTTTGTGATGAATTGTTCATAATCTTTTGAGCTGGAGAGAAAGTGTACAAGAATTAAAGTTAATTGTGGGCCTACTATGTGATGAATAATTCATGTCTTTTGAGCTGGAGAGAAAGTGTACAAGAATTAAAGTTAATTGTAGGCCTACTATGTGATGAATAATTCATGTCTTTTGAGCTGGAGAGAAAGTGTACAAGAACTATTGTTAATTGTATTCTAATAAAACAGTAAATGTAGAACATCCTGCAGTGCCAAAGTTTTAGAGTACCCTTTCCGGTGTTGAATAAAGTAACATACTACTACTGAAAGTACCAGCACGACTAGTTGTGCTAACCGCTTGCGGGATAAAAATAGAAGCACGAAGAGTTAACAGTTTTGGTTAAATCACAGCTTTCCTTTGATCAAAATGTACCCATCTGGCTTTGGGAGATCCATTAAGGTTCAGATTTTTTGTTAATGAGCCAATATAGATGAATTATTATTAAGTGGTTTCCTGATTACATCCAACATGGACATAATGATTGAGACGACTGGGTTGTCTTATATTTGGTCAACTGTACAGACAGAAATACAGGCACAGTGCATTGAATACAAACTCTTTACGTATTTTATTTTATAGGTCAGTGTAAGTATTAGTTGTTGGAAGTGGAGAAAAGGAAGGAAAATTGCACATATATGTCTCCCCCGGTCAATATCAATCGTAAGACGCAGTGTGGTATTGTCAGCTACGAGGCTCGAAAGGCAAAAAAGTAGCTTTCCATGAAATTTTTGGTTTTTGGATCTATTGAAAGTTTGATGTCTTTTGCTTCATTTAAGATTTTTTAAAACGACTATAATCGACTATAAATTTCAAGTCGCTATCTCAATTCTAGGACCCCCATTGCTATGGAAACATATTGCTCAACTTCGTAGGCCATTTTCTCCTTTTCATGTTTCCTTACCTCGCACAATTAAAAGTTCTGTATTTTCGTCAAATATGGTCATATTTACTTTATTCTTGTTTTAAATTGTAGGGAAAAGGTGATAGTTTTTTAAAATAATGTTAACTCAGTTTTGAAATTTCCTTCATATGACTGATATTGACCGGCAGGGACTCATATGTGAGGACTGCCGTGACAAAAAAACAAACTGATGAATTATGTGATTGCATATCTCCTACTAGGATTCTTGGGTGTTCATCTTGTCAATGGGACAAATGAAGTAAATCACATCAAGGATGCGGTACAGGTGATAGGCCATGCTTTTTGGAGTCTGCTGGACACTGAGAACATTTCCAACCCTCCCACAGAATGCAAGGATATTGACAGCTGGACAGATGGGGAGAAAGTGTACAAGTATGAAAGTTAATTGTACTTTGTGATGAATTGTTCGTATCTTTTGAGCTGGAGAGAAAGTGTACAAGAATTCCAGTAAATTGTAGGCCTACTATGTGATGAATTATTCATGTCTTTTGAGCTGGAGAGAAAGTGTACAAGAACTATTGTTAATTGTATTATGTGATGAATTATTCATGTCTTTTGAGCTGGAGAGAAAGTGTACAAGAATTAAAGTTAATTGTGGGCCTACTATGTGATGAATTATTCATGTCTTTTGAGCTGGAGAGAAAGTGTACAAGAATTAAAGTTAATTGTGGGCCTACTATGTGATGAATTATTCATGTCTTTTGAGCTGGAGAGAAAGTGTACAAGAACTATTGTTAATTGTATTATGTGATGAATTATTCATGTCTTTTGAGCTGGAGAGAAAGTGTACAAGAACTATTGTTAATTGTATTATGTGATGAATTATTCATATCTTTTGAGTTCAGAAAAGTAGAGTAAGAGGAAAGGAAAAGGTCATACAGAAAATTGACATTATCATAGAAAGAAAAAAAAAAAGACCAGTTAAATCTCCAGCAACACTTTTAGTAAAAGTTTTTCTGTCACTTTTCTAGATCTGATTTTTTATTTAAGGGACGGTTCTGACAAGCTGAAAGTTATGAAAATGAATATTAACTCAGACTTAAAAGGCAAATGAAAATGACGTATTTGTTATAAATCTGAAATAATTGGTATACAACACTTGCAACTCCGATCCTAGTACCTGATGAAAGGATATTGATGCTCAAAGTATACAACATCACAAAATATTGAAAATATGAGATGAACAGGGACCAAGTAAAATGAGAGAAGGTTTTTGTCTTGTTCATGGTAAAGACCTATGAAGTCTCCCCCCCTCCTCCACCCCATCCCTTACTTTTTCATTTCAAAGCCAAATTAGAGAGCTGAACTAGTGTTGAAATAACCAACTTTGTTTAATTTATGTTTGTTTTGCCTCTAGTGAGCTTATCAAAACACAGCTGAATGGAGAAACTGGCCAGGTGAGCTTCAACTCTGAGGGAGATCGACTGAATCCAATGTATGACATCATGAACATCAACGGCAATCGACGCTCTATGTCTGTAGGGCTTTATGGACATCAAGAAAAGGTGACTTTTCTCTTCAGTGGTGCTCTACTCAATGAATTCATTTTTCTTTTCAAGACAATTAATATTATTTTACAACAATCTTGTTGTTTGAGATTTGAAAATAGGGAAGAGATTTTTCTGTGAATAACTTTGATGAAATAAAAAAAAAGGTTAATATGACTTTTCAGAAAAAAGGCTTGCAAAAGATGTTTGATGGTAGAAAAGACTTGTTTGAAGTGTGCTGAGAAGAGACGATTAGATGAGTTGGTGATGAAACTGCTGTGTAAAAGAAGCAAAATGTTTATAAATTTCTCCACTGTTGTCATTTAGCTTTTTCTCTGAATTGTTGTGTATATTTTCTTTGATCATTTGAATAACATTTGTACATTTTTTCAGGTTTTAGGGTTGAGAATGATGGGAAGAAACATAACATGGCCCGGCAATACTCAAGAGAAGCCAAAGGGAGAGAAAATTTCCCGAAATCTCACGGTAATTTACACACAAGTCTGGTCACCCCAAGTAGTTCAGATTCTCCAGTAAAGTGATATTCTTCTATGAATGCGTTACTTTTGAAGTTATTCAATCTGTGTCCTTGAAGAAATATGTATGCCACTTTATGTGAATCATACAGTATTTGTATGAACCTTTTTTTATTTTGATTTAATAAAGCACAAAAGATAAAGTGAGCCGTATTAATATGTGGTATGAACATTTAGAGCATAGTGGGCAAATTGGACAGGATTTTTTTAAAAACGAAATAAAAAATTTATAGTCATGTCTACATTTTGCTGAGATGAAAAGCGTATACCTGGGTATGTTTGTGCAGATGACCACTCTCTCACCACAAAATGTTGAGAAGGGGAGGACAGAAGGGGAACTCACTATCCTTTACGTATTCAGACATTAATATTTGTTTTTTAAAAATTAACACTTTTTAAGTGGAAAGAGTTGAAGAGAGGGGACCCAGTATAATTATTATAATTATATCATTATCGTTGTTATCATCATCATCATTGACATTAATGCTAGTTATTATCTTCATCGTCATTTTATATTATGATTTTTTTTAAAGATATTTTTTTATTACAATTATTTTTTGTAAAGAGAATATTTTGTGTTAGCATAGTTGAAGGTCTACCCCGCTACAGCAGTCTGCCGTAAGTCCTGCTTGATTGATTATGATCTACTGCAATGTAGGCATTTAGCATGGTAGCGATCACATGGCTGGCGGCATTCAGACCAAAGGTGGTGGGTTTATACAATTGTGATGTGCGGGTGTGTTAATTGCTTCAGTTTGTGATGTTATTTAGGTCCAAGAATTGTTGCAGAGGTAAAGATTATGATTGACAAGTAAGTTGCGGCAGGGCGTGACTAGTTGTGGCTATTTTTGAGAAATCAAGGGAGGAATTTTTTATATATATATATATGGCAAATGACAGTCCCAAGCCGGTGTACACGAAAAACGGAAAATGTAAACTATCCTTGTCACAAGTCCCTAGCCTTTATAAACCAGTAGACTTTCAACTATATTGGTTGTTAGACTGCTCTAGCAGTAGACCATCAACTAAACTAGAAACTTCATAGCAGACCTTCAAATTAATCGGCCCCAAATATTTGATACTGTTTCAGATTGTGACTCTGAAGGAAAAGCCATTTGTGGAAGTTCTGCCCATGCCGAAGGATGGAGTCTGCCGACCTGTGGCCCCGGCTGTCCATGCTTTCCTCTGCAAAAATGCCTCTCAGGGTCAGTGGCTTTCAGCAAGGAGAAAAATTAGTTGGTTTGGTTTGTGGTAGCTTTTCACAGATTATCAGTCTGAAATGTTTGTGGGACAAGGGAACATTTTACTGTTGAATTTTATAGTATTGTTATGTTTTATGAAGTGTAAGACATATAAATAGCCTGGAGAAGACAGAACCTATTTTGTGACACTCTTTGAAGAGGAATTCTGAATGTGTGATTTTGACATTTAAAATTCTGTTTAATGTTTTTGTGTAAAATAAACCTGTTATTGTTTCCATTTTAGTCATAATTACCACATGATGTGGCAAGTCTTACTGAATGTTGAATGGTTCATCAAGATTCTTGGGAATCCTAATCTGATATTAAGACTATAGGTGTGTGTGCCAAAAGAAAGGTACCTAAAGTTGGATTTGGACCTTATTTTGAGTTAAGGGTTGTACCTAATAGGACATTCAATGTTAAACACTGTGGTTTTTTAATATTTTTAGATATCTCAAGTAGTTTATGAGATATTCTACATTTTGCGAGGTAGGGTATAAAGATCAGATTTTGGGAAAATTAGCTTTTAAGTTGAGAACACATCCAAACTTGAAAAAAACGATGATTCAATTGTTTTTTATGTATTTATTTATGGAAAATTCATTTCCAATTCAGCATTCAGTTGACATCAATATCATGATTAGAATTCAATGATACAACATAGCTGGGAAGAGTAAACATGCTTCAAGAATAGATTTTAACACCTTTTAAAAGCAGTTTTCATTATGGGCACATTCCTTTTCGACGACTTCGACATCAAATTACTTTTCGGGCAATTGTCGAAAACAGGTCTCTTATACCGCAAGTTCATTAAGTTGATGAAGAACTATCAAAATAAGTTTTCTAGTTTCGATTTAATGACCCATTTAAGGAAGTTTTTGTCATTTTTAGATTCAGCGCCAAGAATGGGCCCCAGCTTTTTGGGTTTACCCCCCTCAGAGATAAAGAGTTTAAACATACCCTACCATCAAATAATTCAGAGTAATACTTCGAAGTCAAATCGATGAAAGCTCTTTTAATACATTGTTAAAAATTGGAGGAACTATAATTTATTTTATGGAAACACATTTTGGTCGAAAAAGTTATTTTTGGTCATTATATGCCTGTAGCTCAAAATGGTCTTTGTCGACTTTTGGTACCTTTCTTTAGGCACACACTCATCCTTTCTTTAGGCACACACACATAGGTCTTAATGCATGTCTCAGCACCAGTTACCTTTATCCTTCTTCATTTAAAATGCTGTTCTCAGCATGAAGGGATTTAGATGTAGGAGCTTTGGCTGAAGCTCCTGTGCTTGGGTCCTGTAGAACTAAGAAACCAGAACTCGGAGAGATTAGAGTTTTCTTGCTTTTAATTTACAAGCAATAAATAGAGAAAGCATGTGTTTATGTGCTTTAACCATTAAAAAAAAAAAACTTGTTTCCAGACAACTGCTGTATGGGGTACTGTATGGATATGTTGGCTCGGATTGCTGAGAAGGTGAAATTTAATTTCACAATCCATCTGAGCAAGGATGGACTGTTTGGCTCATTTGAAAAGGTAAGGTGTAACATTGTTTAATTTGTGGATATAAACAGTTTTAAGAGAGAATGAAAAAATGCACATTTAAATAGGATGAACATGGTAACCAAGAAATTGGCATTCAGAAACCTTCTTTGAGCTTTGTGGGCAAAAGCTGAATTCATCAGGGAGGCTGATGTCACCACTGAGCGGGCCTCATGTATAGAAGCTCCACATCGTGATGAAAGGCAATTTACATAAAAGTTTCGAGCGGTGGTGATAAATGAAGATAAAGGAATGAGTCTCTGTAGTGCAACAACACACCAGTGAACCCTTATTGTCTCTCAGAGCGCCTTCAAATTAATAAATATTTATTTAATCGCAACTAAATTAAAATTATCATCAGCAATCACACTCTCGTATAATGTCCAGCCAACAGAAAGTGATCAGCGCTGCCAGTCTCGTCCAGTGAAAGAACCACCCCCTGTGGAGAACCACCCTTGGAGAATCTGGCCATTTTTCTTGCTTTTATCGATAATACTTCTGACAATAAGAAAACAAATTTTATCAGAACTTTACTTTCTACCTCACGAGAACTATTGGCATCTACTATTAAGCAATGATAGTAAAGAGGCAACAAATGTACTTTTTTCCCAGCATAATGGCTCTGACAAGAAGTACTGGAATGGCATGATGGGTGAGCTGATGACTAAGGAGGCTGACCTGATTGTTGCCCCTCTTACAATTAACCCAGAACGTGCCAATGACATCGACTTCACCAAACCATTTAAGTATCAGGGGCTGAATATCCTTGTCAGAAAGGTTGGTAGTACTTTTTATGTTTTTATGGAGTGTGATGGAAAAGCTTTAAGTATTTGTACTGTATTCAGTTAGTGGGATATGTCACTTTATTTATCTGAAAAGGTTGCAGCATTTTTACTTAATGTGTAACAAGTGGGATTCTGTCATAATATTTCAAAGTCAATTTTTTCTGCATTTGTTTTATATATAGTTAGTGTGATGTGGTGTAGAATTTCAGCAAAATATTGGTTATATTCAGAGAGATATTCTGCAATGTAGAAAAGATGAAGTTTTAGAGTGTTGGTTTGGCCTTTTTATACTCTTCAAATGATATAATTTAAAAAACCTTAAACATAATGCTTGGGTGTTATCTTGCTTTTCATTTACTAAAAGCAGTCACTCCCAATATCATTAGATCTTTCTTTTTGCTATTTGACTTTCATCCATGACTTGTGCTGAATATTATACTTTATAACATGTGGTGGGCACTGTGATGGGTAGTGCAGATTCTGTTTCTATAGAGGGCATGCCTTTAGCTGAGTTAGCATCATTCTGGTCTAAGGTACAGATTCCTGTTGTTTTTTAATTTGGGTAGCACATTATTTAGAGGCTCTCCTTCTTCCTGGCTGAGTCATATTTTTAGAGATTGTTGAATGTTGTAAAAGTTTCATGTCTTGCATAATTAGTAAAAATAAATAATGAACCCCAATGTTTTCACACAGCATGACAATCGCAGCCAGCTGTTTCTTCTTGATTTAACTATAAGATAGGTAAAACCCCACTGTGACCCTAGACATTGAGCATTAGGTCAAGCAGTTCATGGGAGGAGACTTTGCTAAATAACCTCACAGTGTGAAAAAAAAAGAAAAATAGAAACATCTCAATGACTACCAAAACGAAAGTTCTGAAATGCTATGTATGGTCAACCCTTCTATATATATGGCTTTGAATGCTGGACAATCACCGAAGACAGAAATGTGGTTTCTTAGAGACTGCTGATAATATTGTGGAAGGAAGAGAAATAAAATGAGGTAGTGCTTGATGAAGCCCACGTGGGACGCTCACTGTTAAAAACAATCAGGAAACGACAAATGCAGTTTTTGGGACACCTGAAGAGACCTAAAGGTTTTGAATATTTAGCTGTCACTGGCAAAATGGAAGGCAAACGAGGCAGGGGGAGGCCGAGAGCAACCTACTTAAGGAACCTAAACAAATGGGTAATGGGAAAACGTAGCTTTTTTAAGAGCATCCGAGGGTAGGAATGAATGGAGAACCATGATTATCGATGTCTGTTGCAGATCTGGCACGGGATGATGATGATGATGATGTGTAAAAACATGATTTTCATGTAAATGATAAATGTTTCTACCAAGATCTTTTTGTTGGCCTACAGACTCAGAAAGACTCGAGCTTAGCCTCCTTCCTGCAGCCATTCCAAGACACACTGTGGATTCTGGTGGGTCTCTCTGTGCATGTGGTGGCGCTAGTGCTCTATCTGCTGGACAGGTTCTCTCCCTTTGGTCGCTTCAAACTGGCTAAGAGTGACGACACAGAAGAGGATGCCCTCAATCTATCTAGTGCGATGTGGTTCTCATGGGGTGTCCTTCTCAACAGTGGCATTGGAGAAGGTAGTGGCATGACCCAAAAAATTGAAAACATCTTGACTTCTATTCAAGATAGATTGATTTTTAACAATCGAAAGATAGACAAATGAACCTGTTTTAAGATATAAATACCAATAACTCTAAATGCTAAAAAATTGACGCATGTCTGATACCACTGCATTGTGGCACAAATGTATTAATCTCTATTACATTGTGAAATTGTTCGTTACTTTAGTCGCCTAAAACTTCCGAATCACTTAACTTTCGAATTTGAAAAAATTAACGGGGGTTCTGAATCATTTAACTCATTCGCTTCGTTTAACCATGGGCAGTGGCGTCGCACAAGTTACTTCCGTACGGCAAGTCGCCTCCGACAGCTTGAGAACCCACCTAGAATTCTAGCTTAGATTTTATTCCAATCCACATATCCATGTTAAAATAAAGATTATAATATAACGTTTACTTCCAGGTCAAGCGCTACCACCGAAAATTGGAAGTTTTGATTCAGTTTTGAAACCTCATTTAGAAGTTTACACGACTTTGTTTTATCGCGATGCCCAAGTTATAGCCAAGAAAATTACACAACAAATTGTATCATTATTTTGCTTACTAAAGAAATGTAAGACTTTTCTTTAGAATATTGATACTATTAGACTCATATTGCCATAGCTCTGTTATTTAGAAATCAATATTTTTCAGTGCTAGATCTGGATCTATTCGAGATCTAGGTTGTAACAATATTATTTTCTCCCCAAAATCACTTTTTTTTGGTGAAATTACACTAAAAGTACAACTCAAGACATGTGTGGTTTTATTCTAAAAGCCAATCTGAATAATTCCATATAAGACACGAGTGGGTTTTTTTTCTGTTTGTGAATGTGTCTTTTCTTTTTTTCAAGTTCATAAAAAAAAAAAGTTTCAGTATCGGATGTTATGATCCAAAAGTACAAATTTTTTTGAATGAATGTAGGCTAAATAAATGCAAATTTTTCAACATTTTCCAGTTCTATATTCATTTATGGTTATTTTGATGTATCATTTGACTAGGTGCAAACATATTTTTTGCTTTTCACCAAAGATTATTAATTTTTTTTTTTCAAATTTTATCTGCTTCCAAGCGTAATTGTGTTGCCTAATCGCCTCTTAGAGGATTGAAAGTTGAAAAATACCTAAATAAACATTACAGATGTTTTCTATAAGTTATACTGAAAATTTTGGTGAATAATATGTTGATATTTATTTGAATTTGTGGCCCCAAAGACCTTTGAACTGCGCACTAGTCATCATCTCATTTCGGCCTCCCGAAAAATATTCGTCCACAAGCCAAAAATAATATGTAGCGAATGAGTTAAAGTATGCACAGTTATATTAAGGGGTGTGAAGTCACTAGTTTAATTTTCAATTTTTCATTAGTTTCGTTTTGATCTCTTGGGAAAATTTGTCTTCTAAGACACCTTGGTAAACAAGTGAGGCTTCTGTTCACAAGCAGTGCACACTGGTTCCACAATGACTTGACGATCGATTCTTTTGAGTTCGTTCATCGCACAGGTACCCAATTAGTTATTCTATAATGGCAGTTCTAGATGATTTGGTTGAATAGATATGTACTCTCCTAAAGGCTTACTTTTGTTCTGTGGATTTTTTCGTCTCATCTTTTCAGCAGTTTGACCTTTGATTTTGTGTGCAATCCATATTTTGTTACAAATGAGCAGAACTGCTATCTATAACCATGAATACTCTCTAACCATTACACGATTTTGTTTCTCAGGAACCCCTCGCAGCTTCAGTGCCCGTGTGCTAGGAATGGTGTGGGCTGGTTTCGCCATGATCATTGTTGCCTCTTACACTGCCAACCTTGCAGCTTTTCTAGTGTTGGATCGACCAGAGGCTCTCATCTCTGGCATTGATGATCCCAGGGTCAGTGGAGATTTTCCTGTTGCTTTTTATGTTTTTGCAAATTTTACTCACAACTTATTTCAGTGTCCTGTTTAATTCTCTTAATGCAAAACATACTGCATCCCCTGGTGCATACATCAAAACGTAGAAAATTGTAAAATCTCAAGGCCAACAAGGTACAGCAATATTGTATTTAAGGAGTTACAATATCAAGAAATATTATTTTTTTATATGCTCAATCTTTGCCATGGTTCTATGTGATGTTTCAATGACAATTTTCATTAGAGGTTTTTATATGAGCTGTCCCATTTTATTAATATTTTAGCATGTAAAAAAAAAAATCAGGATATCTGTTCTGTACTGTTCACTTAACTTTTGTTTTTGTTTTTGTCTTATATTGTTGTTAACAGCTTCGTAACCCAAACAAAAAGTTCAAGTATGCTACCGTGAAGGGCAGTGCCACAGAGATGTACTTCAAGCGTCAGGTAGAACTTTCCACAATGTATCGGAACATGGACAAACAGAAGAAATATTACACTGCGGAAGATGCTATTGAGGACATCAGGATTGGGTAAGCTGGATTGAAAGTTTTTTCTTTATATACATTAGTCATTTTTATTGATGGTAAAATAACATTACTCAAAAATGTAATAACCTGTTCAAGTGATGGTATTTTCAGAGTCAAAATGTGGTCGTATTTCCATGTGTTTAATCAGTTTGTACACCATTGCTAATAAAAAGATCCTGTCTTTTTTATTGCTGTGTGATGCTCTGAAATAACGTTCAGTGCAGAAGTTTTCACATGTTGCATGTAATGCCTCGAAGTTCATATTCCCTCAATTTCATTGTAAGGAGAGGAGGGTAGTGATGAATTGCTATTAATTTAGTCACACTGACAGTGGACTGAATGGATTTACCTTAATTGAGAGAAGAATATTATCTCCCCTCAAAGGTGAATGATTCTGATAGGGAAATTGGTTTTATGGCAACAATGATGATATGTGTATTTAGAAAGGTCTGAATTGATTTTGAAATACTCCCTCAAGGGCTATGGACTAAAGAGTTGTTGGCAAAAAAGTTTCTGGGTTAAGTGCGTCAACTTTTGTTTCGCTCCCTAATAATTAATTAAGATTAAAGAAGAACACTCAGTTCTCTAAGGTTTGGTGTTGGACCTAACATTTGTGTTATGTTACAACTTACTTGAGTCTTGGAGTAGTAGATCTAGATGATAGTTGATTTTGGTGGGGCCCCACGTGCTGGTCGTCTGCTAGGCCTAGTTCTTCATTAGCCGATGTTACTCGCCTCTGCCTCAGTGAGAGAGTGACCTTCAGATTTCCCACCGCTTGCACGAAATCACAGTCACTTGATACGTCCCTTAGGCCTACGTCACAATAATTATTAAGGTGTGTTCACAATACATGTCCCTCTAGTCTTAAGGTGCGTTTACACCACATCTCCCCCTCTTTATATGAGGAAATAACTTGAAAGGGCCAAAGCCCCAAATAACAAAATCAACTCTTAGGGCGACAACTATAACAAATTAGTTTTCCTCCCAGGAACAAAACACTATATAAATCATCTGATATTTACACCAGGAAGAGAGAGTACTACAAATCCAGTACTTCTCTCAGCTTGACCAGTCTTCCACTTCTAGTGTCAACTGGCTTTGTCTCCGTCTCATTGGAAAGGCTACTTGCAGGATCAATTTGAATTATCCCTGGCTCAGTTTAAGGTTGCCCTAACGTTGGTAAATTATTACTATCCCTGGGTATAGTAGGAGGTATAGACAGATGTTTGTCCGATCTTTTTCTAACCTGTTGTCGGTTCCTCCGTGTAACATGTCCAGAAGAAGTTTGGACATATACAGATCTTGGAATTACTTTTGCTTCCTCCAGCCTCGGAGTCTTAAGCCAAACCGACTGTCCTGGTTTGAACTCTGGTAGATTTTTCACTTTATGCCTTCTATCAAAATTCTCCTTGATTTTTCTTTTTATAATAGCATCTTTACTCCGGAATTTCATATCGTTCTGTCTTTCCTGCAAGGATGGTACTCTAGTTCTTAGTTTCCGGTTCATCAGCAGTTCAGCTGGACTCTGTCCCTGGGCCAAAGGTGTGGCTCTGTAATTTAAAAGGGCCAGAAAAGGGTCCTGTTCTTTCTTGAGCATGTTTTTAATTGTTTGAACTGCTCTCTCTGCTTCTCCATTAGCCGACTGATGATGAGGGCTACTTGTAACATGTTTGAATCCATAATAGGAAGCGAAGTTACAAAACACTGCTGAAGTATATTGCGTCCCATTGTCAGTAAGTACTGTCCTGGGAATACCCATTCTTGCAAAGATAGCCTTGAAACTGTTGATAACACTCTTGGAAGTAAGAGAAGTAAGGTGTGAAATCTCAATCCATCTGGAATAATAATCCACCACCAGCAGATAATGTTCTCCCTGCCATTCAAACAGGTCACTTCCTACTTTTTCCCAAGGGTGATCTGGAGTTGGAGTTGGTACTAGCGGTTGAGGAGGCAATACTCTGTGTTTTTCACACTCAGGGTAGTTATTCACTAGGGTTTCAATATCCTTAGACATCCCAGGCCACCAAATACAGGTACGTGCTAAAGCCCTACACTTGACTATACCTTGATGCCCCTGGTGGATTCTCTGGAGCATGTCTTGCCTCAGTGAAGATGGAATGACCAACCTGCATCCGTGCAAGAGAATACCTTGCTCCACCGCCAAACAATGACGCTCTGCATAGTATAATTTTAATATTCCATGCGTCCTTTGAGGCTAATGGCCCTGAGTGAATTGAATCACCTCTCTGCATTCCTTGTCGCTGTGCTGTGCACGTCAAACTTCCTCTAATCTTTGATCTGATATGGGGATCGACTGAAATATTGTACTGACTTCAACTGTTTCCTCTTCTGCTTTACTGTTTTTCAAAGGAGATCTGGATAACCAGTCTGCCATAACTAGGTCCTTGCCAGCAACATATTCAATGTCGTAAGTAAATCTCAACATCCTCATCCTGAATATCTGTATTCTTGGAGTAAGGAGATCCAAGTCTTTTGCTTTCATCAGCGACAGTAATGGTTTGTGGTCTGTCTCGATTACAAACTTAGGGAGACCCACTAAATATTTTGAAAATTTTTCACAATACCATGTCATAGCCAAAGCTTCCTTTTCAATCTGTGCATACCTAGTCTCGGTGTCCTTGAGAGATCTAGATGAGTAGAAAACTGGCTTCCAGCCTTCCTGGTCTTTCTGCAGCAGAACTCCTCCAATTCCAAAAGAAGACACATCTGCAGACACTTTTATTGGCTTGTTTGGGTTGTAATGTTGTAGTACTGGTGTAGAACTAAGTAGAACCTTTACTTCTTCAAAAGCTTTCACTTGTTCTGTCCCCCATGTCCATTCGCTGTCTTTCTTAAGCAGGTCTCCTAGAGGTTTTGTCACATCTGCCAGCATAGGTGCAAATTTGCCGACATGGTTTACCATTCCCAAAAATCTTCTTAGCTCTGGGACATTTTCTGGTGCCTCAAGCCTGGTAATGGCCTCGACTTTCTCTGGGTCAATGCTGACACCCTTTGCACTGACAATATGTCCAAGAAATTTCACTTTCTTTGTTGAAAACTCACACTTCTCATTTAGTGTAAGTCCAGCTTTGTTCATCAGATCCAAGACCAACTTCAGTCTTTCGTCATGTTTTTTTAAATCTCTTCCTCCTACAAGAACATCATCAATGTCACATATCACACCTGGTATTCCTTCCACGATGTTTGACATTTCTCTATGGAATATTTCAGGACCAGAATTGATCCCAAAGGGCAGTCTTTGGTAACAAAATCTCCCAAAAGGCGTAATAAAAGTAGCTAACTCTTGAGACCTTTCGTTTAGAGGAATTTGATGAAATGATTTGTTACAATCCAGCTTGCTGAAAATTGTAGCTCCATTCAACTGTGCCAATAACTGGTCAGTAGTAGGAAGAGGGTAGTCTCTCTTTTAACACTTTCATTTAGTTTAGTGTAATCACAACATAGCCTGACTTTTCCTGATGGCTTTAGAACAGCTACTATAGGAGCACACCAATCAGTAGGTTTGGTAACAGGTCTGATGATTCCTTGTTCCTGTAGAGATTTTAGTTCTTCTTCAACTTTATCTTTTAGTGGAAGAGGCAGCCTTCTAGGGCAGGTAAGGTTAAATGGCTTTGCATTGTCTTTCAACTCAATAGTATATTCATTGCTTGTTTTTCCTAAGCCTTGGAAAAGACTAGCATACTTAAGTTTTGGGTCAAACTTAGCTTCTGACAATCCATTTACAACTTCCACCACTTTAAGTGCTTCAATGGCAGGTCTGCCTAACAGCGGTTTTCTGAGTCCCTTGATAACATATAAGTCTTGTTCTGACTTACAACTGTTCTTTTTCATGATTGCTGTGAATACACCGATTACATCTAGTTTTGACCCTCCCGGTCCATAGAGTTTCTTGTCAGTTTGCTTTAGCACTTTTGTGTCTCTAAAATTTTTGTCTGAGACTACAGACACATCAGCTCCTGTGTCTATATGAAATGTCATTTTCTGACTGTTGACTAATATCTCTGTGTGCCAGTTATTCACGGAATTTATTTCGTGTTTGGAACCCAGGATGGTTCTTGTGGTATTATCATCACAGTCTGATTCTTCTACTCGTCTCACTGCTTTTGTTCTGCACTGTGAAGCATAATGTCCTATCTTTTTGCATTTGTTGCACTCTGCTCTTAATGCTGGACAATCTTGGTTATTTCTATATGAATCATATCCACACCTTGTGCATTTCTTTTTTGAAGACTGTTGTTTTCTATCCTTTGGATATTGTGACCTCTTATCACTGAAAACTGCTTCTTTTCTTCTGGAAACAATTTCTTTCTGTCTTTTGACATAACTCTGTCAACTGCTAATTCTTTCATTTCATTTAGCTTGACTTGACTAGCCTCATAGGCTCTTGCTATGTCTATTGCCTTCTTGAGATCCAACTTGGGGTCTTCCAACAACTTTTCTCTCATGTGGTCAGTCTTGCAGCCAACTAAAATTCTGTCCCGAATCATGCGATCTTCAAATGCTTCAAAGTTGCACCCTCTGGCCAATTTTCTTAGCTCCGCAACATAGGCGTCAATGGATTCATTAGGTTCTTGTACTCTGACATGAAAGTGGTATGACTCGAATGCCTCATGAGTTGTTCCCATGCAAAATTCCTCAAACTTCTTGAGTACTGTATTGATATCATCCTGTTCCTCTTTGGAACTAAACTTAAATCCATCAAATTTGTCCATCGTATCTTCCCCTATAACTGTCAATAAGACTGCACACCTAAACTGTTTTGACTCTTTGATCAAGTTTTAAACAATCTCATAATTCTTCCATGCCCTCGAAAACTTTCTCCAGTTTGATTGCAAAGCACTTTCCTCGCTAATATTTAATTTTTGAGGCGGCTGTATTTGAGCATGAAATCTGGACTTTGGCCCTTCCATATTGAGGCTTGGTTGACTAGTTTCAATGGGTTTAGATTCAGGCGACTAGATTTAGCGTCATAGGCCTACAGACTAGTTTCTAGTAGAAAATTTCATGTGAGTCTCGATCTGTGTCTAATCTACAGATCTAATCTAGAGTCTACATTCCGATTTCAATATTTGCACTTGGATTCGTACTGTCCGTATCTCTGCGCACTTATGACACCATGTTATGTTACGACTTACTTGAGTCTTGGAGTAGTAGATGTAGATGATAGTTGATGTTGGTGGGGCCCCACCTGCTGGTCGTCTGCTAGGCCTAGTTCTTCGTTAGCCGATGTTACTCGCCTCGGCTTCAGTGAGAGAGTGACCTTCAGATTTCCCACCGCTTGCACGAAATCACAGTCACGTGATACGTCCCTTAGGCCTACGTCACAATGATTATTAAGGTGTGTTCACACTACATGTCCCTCTATTCTTAAGTTGCGTTTACACCACAATTTGTCTTCATCAGAGTCTTACCACAAAAAAATGAACAAAATTTGTACCCAAAAAGTGTATAGCCTACAAATGTTAATTAGGTATGTCATGATACATCACTAATGTTATATTAACCAATATCCCACTGTCTTTAGAGATTCTCTCAACTGGAATTATCTTTCTATATCTTCAGAGAACTTCAGGCTTTCATCTGGGATTCGCCTCGTCTGGAATATGAAGCGGCCAGTGATTGTGATCTCACCACAGCTGGGGACTTGTTTGGCCGCTCAGGGCTGGGCATTGGTCTGCCGAAGAACAGCCCCTGGACACACGAAGTCTCAATGGCTGTGTTAGATATGCATGAAAGTGAGAAATACATTTCTGTGGTCACATTAGATGTGCACAAAATTAAGAAATACACTTCTTTCTACCACTGACCTTTCTCGATTTGAGATAAGTCTATGGTGGTCTAGAAAATAGTTATTTGTTTCCTCGGAAATTAATATCTTGTCTTGGTCAAGGACTCAGGCTCTGTCTTTTATTGACTGTAACAATGATGACACTGAACCAGTTTGGAGGCGGAATTACAGGAGAAATAGTACTGCACAGAAAATAGAATGCCTTCAGGAAGCAACATTTTCAGATGGAGTTCTACAATTCAAGGAGTATAGTTGTTGTTGCTGGGAAGGTAGTTTGGGGTCCTATGTGCCAGTGTCAGTTTTTTAAGACTTTTAATATTAGTTTGTATATTTGTACAGTAAATATTGTAACTGTAGTTGTTGATGTTTTATGATCTGATCAGCATATTTTTTTACATGATTCTATGTTTGGTGTTTGTTTAGGTGGTTTCATGGAGCAGCTGGACAATCGATGGATTTTGGTCGACAGCAAATCCTCATGCCCAGAGAGCAACTCTGCCCCGGCTACTCTGGGCTTGACCAACATGGCAGGTGAGGGGGAGACTGTAGGGAAACATAAAAAACATTGGAGGTATGCCTCCTATGTATTGATGATGTTTGTCAGAAACCCTGGTGCTCCAGTTGGAAAAGGAAGGCAGGTACTGGGTCTCTTTAAGAGAGTCTGGGAGACTTGGAGGTAAAAGAGGAGGAGAGAGCAGTGAGGGGTTAGACAGTGTACGTGAAGCTTCAATCATCATGTAAACAAGTCATAGTAGTGGCAGGACAAAACAGTATAAAAGGGGAGGAGAGAGCGAGCAGTGAGGGGTTAAATAGTAGAATGTAATAATAGATAATAATAATAATTGCATTTACATAACACATATCCATGCTCTACAACATGCTCTATGCACTTTCCACTTACCTCGGCAGACCCTCTGAGAACACTCAGAAACATTCTTGGCTTCCCGGGAAGCGTACAGTGCAAGCTGTGGTTTTCTCATGCTCAAACACTATCAAACTGACAAGATCTATCACTGTCTATAGCCATTTCCACCTGGGTGAAGTGAGGAAAATTTTTGTAAAGTGCCTTTCCCAAGGAAACAAAGTCAAGACCCTGACGAGATTTGAACCCACGACCTTAGGGTTGCAAGTCTGAGAGCCTAAAAACTAGGGAAATTCTTTACAGCATTTTTCCTTTAAAAATTGTCCAGAATGTTTTTTGTTTGAACTTGCATTTTCTGAATAATGGAACTTCACATAGGGAAGAAAAATGTGCTTCATTGCCACTGTTATCCTTCACAATCAAAGTCATGAAACACACCAGCTGAGAATTATGTCACAAATGACAATTTTTGTAGTCAATTTGCCTTGTGAAAACAAACTAAACATTTTCCTAAGAAAAATATATGTAATTTCTCATTTTAATATAAGGTATCTTGTTTTCAATTGATGCTGGATTAACAAAATTATTTTGCTTTCAAATAACAAACTTTTAACTCACTTAATCTTACTTTTACATCTATTCATTGTAGGTAGCACTTCTACTTTAGTTTACTGTATGGCATCATGACACATCTCATGATTGTTTTAATTTTGTAGGGGTCTTCATGATGGTGGCTGGAGGCATCGTGGCCGGCGTGTTGTTGATATTTATAGAGATAGCTTACAAACGGCATCGAGGGTTAAAAGAAAAAGAACTGGAACTTGCCAGAAATGCTGCTGATCGTTGGAGGGGAAACATTGAGGTAAAATTTTCACTTTGTTTGTATGTTCGACATGAGTGGTGTTTTTTTGTTTTTAAAAATAATTTATGTGTTTTAAGCATTGGAATTTTGAGAGTATAGACTGGTTTTGTTGTATCAGTATTTGATGCGAAGGAATATTGATTCTGTCTCTTAAATATTATCAGGATAGATTTTTTTAAAAACTTTTAAAAAAATAAATGTTTAAATGTCTGTTGGTTTTACCTAAAATTTGTTCTTGTTATTTCAACTCTTTGTGTGATTGACCCTTAGCCAGGGTTAGTTGCAACTGATCTAGTGAAAACACAGTTTCAGTAAAACAAAGCATTCCTGGTAAAGGTGAAACTTATTTCAACAGAGAATTCTTGCTGGAAAACTCAGAATGCTATGTAATGAAACAGTCTTTGAACTGCTGTATGTGGCTGCCCAGTCAGACATTAAGTAATATAATGCCGAATAATCAGCAGCCTGCAGATGAAGATATGGTAAATTATTGGACAATTGGTAGAGAAAAAAAAAGACATGCTTTGAGTGCTGATATTTTTAATTTGTTGAGAAAAATGTCTTTTGTTCACTTTTTATGTTGTCTGTGTGCATTTGGTATTTTTTATACTCCTTTTCTCCTCTTCAATATTCTATGTATTTATGTTGGCTTTTTTTCAAATCTAAAGAGACTTTCATCTTTCATCATTTGTTTGAATTACTCAACAAATGGTTTCAGAGCAGAAAGTTTATTTTGTTTCATATTGTATGTTTACATGTATTTTTCACTGTGGTGTACATGTATACCAAGAAGGCAGAATATTTCTTAATGTATATAAGTGACATCATTGCTTCATGAAAGGTTTGTATCTGTAAAATGTATATACATATTACTTTTCATATGTTTTGAATGAGGTTTATGGAAAATATATTACTGATGCTAAAAACAGCTTTTCCTTTCTCTTTGATTAGGGATGACCATTCTCAAAGTTTTTCTGGAGGTTAGGATATTTGTCAGCATTTGCAATTAACTACTGAAGTTTTATTATTAGTTCAGGTGGACATTGATTGTCTGCTGTTGTGGAGGCTAAAAAAAATTGAGAAAAGCATTACGCTCATTCTCGATTTAGATCTACCCTGTCACTTTTCGACTCCAGAAAGCAGGAAAATTGTCTTAATTGCCAAAATCACCAACATTGAGGAAATAAGACAATAGTATGAATAAAACACATGACACTAAATTGTAAAACTTAAACAAATAGGCCCACATTTGGCATTAAAAAAAAAAAAAAGCAACCTACTATAGAACTGTTGAATTCCATATATTACAAAATACTAAAAGCCACAATTTTATTTAGCTGTTTTCTTAAAGTATTGGGAATGGCACTTTCGTCATTCTGGTTTTCGTGGGTTGTATTGTTCTATGTTTTGTGCCTAACAGCTTTGTGTACATGTTAAAATGATCTCTACTCCTCGAGGCTGGTGAATTATAGAGAGGCACCTAATTTCCCAATTTACAAAAGCTCTTCCATTTTCTTCTATGAAATTCAAAAAGCTTCAACATTCAGTCATTGTAAGATCAAGAATGAATCTTGTTTTGTCACAGAAGATCAATGTATTTTCCTCATACCTCTTTCCTTGATAGTTTTATTTTTACTGTTTTTTGGATAATATTTTTAATATTCTGAATTACAATATTTCACTCATCCACTCTGCATTGTTTAACACATTTGGATACTCTTTTGTACACTCAAAGATAAAATCAAGCATGTAACGTACAAAAGAAAAAGATTACTTTTTTCAAATTCTTTTTGGACTCAAAGAGTGATTCAATCATAAATTGGAATTGTTGTCGATAAAGCTCAGAGAAGATGGGTGAGAGTATTTTCTGATCATAAGGGGTAGGTTTTGAAGCAAATTAACAGCTCTGATTAAGATTCAGTAGTTTGATAATCAAACCAATGTGCTAACGGTGCAGGGTGAGTGAGTTCAGATGTTGTTTCTTTTTCGTCTCATGAGATATTCAAATATGAAATGGAAAACCAGAATGGATAATCCAATTTGATTCTTTGAAACATGGCCAAGTGTTGTCATGCTTGAATGTGCTATGTGTGTTTTCTTCACTTCATGTTGTGGATGTTTCTTCATCACCTCTCCAGAAAAGAAAAAAGCTACGTGCGACTTGGCAGTATCTTCATGCCCTCAAAGACACCAACGAAATAGACCTCAAGTAGGGCAACCGCTTAGCTTGGCCATGGGAATTTAGCATGCAAACACTAACTCTTAACCTTTTTCATGCACTGCCCCGCAAGCTTAAAATAAGAATCACAAACCTTAACATGTTTAAGTAATGTCATGCCGTAGCCATTTGTAATCCAGCATGATGATATAGACATTAAAATCATTCAACAAGTAACGTTTCAGGGTTATGTGTTTGTGGAGATGGGATTCACTTGGAGAATAAAAACATGCCTCGTAATATGTGCCTGTACCTCCTTGGAACTGCAGAACTTATCATTGGATATTGAGTATCTTCCAGTGTGGGGAGCTTTTCTATTCGGTGAGCTTAGAATAAGGCAGGAGCAAAAATATTGTACAGTTAGACAAAGAGGTTTCATTTCAGTATAGTGGTCTGTATTAAAAACCATGAAAGTCAAGACAGATAAGATAGAAAAAACACTGGAGTCAGAAGTTATCAAAGTAAGGGGTAAAATGAACTAAGAAACAGAAAGGCATAAAATAATGGAGCCATATGAAATGTGAAATAGACATTTTGTCTTATGTTTTCCCTTTTTTCCTGCAATACTACGTGCATAATCAAACCTTTTTTTTTTGCTTTTATATCCTTTGTCCCTCTTCTGTTATTCATAATAGAACTATTTCAGTCAACAGTTTGCCAATGCATGCTTACCCCATAGGGGAACATTGACATATTCCATTGCAGACTTTTTCAGATGCTGAATTTTGGGCACACATTTAAATTTGTATATGGGTGGATTAAGTTTTCTGTCCACTAGACAAATTTTTATTGACATAGAAAAGTTCCCATTCAATCTGAAATATGGTTTGCTGTAATGAGAGTTATAGTAGCATACTGTTTGTGAAGTGATTTGTTTATTATTAGCGGAGGGCATCAGTAACATCAGATAGATTTGTGGTTTGCAAGTTTCACATGACTTATTTCAGAATGGTAGAAAGTCAATATTAAAGTCTATTTTTTCGCTTTCCCTTCTCAGCTTGCAATGACTTCTTGGCAGTTGAATCTATCTGAACCATACTTTTTTCCCCTTTGTACTTACTGTAGTCAAGCACATAATAACACGAACACGCGACACTCGAAATCACGGATAGCTCGAACAATTTGCTATTCTCTGACTGAACTGTTATATTTTCTTTGTTTTGGCAACACTTTTCTCAAACAGCCATAAGGCTATGACAGGCAGCTTGTCTTGAAAAACAAGATCAAATTTTTCTTCAAAATTGTCTTGAACTCAAATCGCTCTACAGGCACGAAGCAAAACAACAGACCCATCGTTATCGAGAGTATTTAGTTACATGAGCTCACCAAGCTCACCCCTGAACAGCATGTGATGATTTTACCTGCAGTGTGTGTAAAATGCTTGACCTTCCTTCAATGTGGTTATGTAAGGGTGGGTGCTGGGTGTTAAGGTATGATGGAAGACAGACAGTTTAGCGCTGCATTGAGCTGTCTGATGTCTGAATTATCTTTGCATTTGTGTACATGTGTGTGTATCAGTGCTTGTGTGCATGTGGTTGTTTGAACATGAAGTTTGGGCCTATGGATTGTAAAGTGTTACACAAGAGGGGGGGGGGGGTGGCGTGCTTTGATCAGTGTTAGTTACATCACAATGATCTGAAGTAAGAATAATGTGGTTTTTAAAAATTAATAATAATAATAAATAATAAATAGCATTTGTATAGCGCATATCCCCGCTCAACAGCAAAAAAGATTAGTTGTAAAGCTCATCAGCCTCACTCTTTCCCATTCTCTTGCTTCTACACTGAACAAGCCACACTGCTGATATCCAGTTGTATCATTGCTCATTATCTGTAGTGTGTAAAATTTATAGCACTAGAACTTCTTTGAATCTAGTCATACGAGGGTGGGTGGTGGGGTGAAATCAAAGACAGACAGTGTGGCATGGTAGGCCTACTGCATTGGGCTGCATGGTGTGGGATGCATGTGTGCATATATGCTTGTTTGAACATGAAGGTATTGATCAGTGAGTGATTACATAAGAGGGGTGGGTGCTGGGCTCTGACCAGGCTTGGTAACATCATTATGATTGTGATCTGACGAAGAGAATTTAGTTTTTATAAATCAGTTATAAATCTAGGGCTCATCAGCATCACTCTCTTCTTTTCTCTTGCTTTCACACCAAACAAGGAGCACTAACTATCGGTTTATCAATACCCGTTTTTTTTTTTCATGATGGCAGTGTTTTATCTTTTTACTATTATTCTCTCATATGGCAGGTACATCCTTTGATTTTTGTCAATATTTCTATTATTTCTTGCTATCATGGTTTATTCAAATTACGGATATGGCAAACATATTTGTCAATCCCCGAGGAGATTGAAGTATCCGTGCTCGACTGTAATTTTGTTTCTCTGGGGTTTTATTTTTAACTTATATGAACAAGTAAATTTCCTGTTTCGAGAAAGGATTTATTCAGAAAGTTTGAACTTCACTGCAGGGACAAGACCATTATGTTACTTCTTCCAATAGTATGTGAAAAAAAGAAAATTCTGTAGACAGCATATGCATGAAGATGTTATTTGCATATACATGTATATCTGCTCATAATGTGCTAAATGTGCTTTATGCTTTCAGCAACTCTTATTAAATTCTGTTCTATGGCTTTACACTACATGTATTCTATATCTGTACCTTTCAGTCTATATGCTATACTTAGTATACATATTGTTGAACCTCTACATAACAGTCACTCAAGGTCAAAGTGAAAAGTGACCATTATAGACAGGTGGCTGCTATAGACAGTCTGAGCTATGGTTACTCTCTAGACTTAATGGATGAAGTCAACAGAAAGTTTAAAACCTCAGTTACTGATTCTATCTTTCCTTTTCATTTTCATCAAAATTGTTGTCTATCATAAGAGCTTCTTTGTGTTGACTGTAGCTCAGGACGAAGGGCTAGAACTCAGATGGCCACTGGATTTGAAAAGTAAAGTAAAGTAAAAGTGTAGACTGGACACACACGCTCCGTCTGGGGACAGGTTAGGCAGCAAACTTTAGTAGCAAGTGACTGCCATGAGCAGGTTTTATGGCGGACTTGTTGTGAAAATGACTAACCATGGCTGTGTTTGACATGGACCAGTAGGCACAGGTCAGAAATATAGAAAAACGCAAGGGTGTCGTGGAACAGTGGCCGTTAGTACAGGTGACAGTTGTGGAGAGGTGACTGCTAAGGCAGGCTCAACTGTATATATGTATATAATATATAATATATGTTTATATGTTATAAGTGCTTGTTTGTGTGTATGTGTGTGTGTGTGTGTGTGTGTGTGTGTGTGTGTGTGTGTGTGTGTGTGTGTGTGTGTGTGTGTGTGTGTGTGTGTATGTGTGCGTGTGTGTGTGTGTGTGTGTGTGCTAGATTATAGTGTCTTGATTATATTCCTTTACTCATGTGATTCTATTATCACGGAGACATTTTTTACTTCTTTACAAAACTTTCTTTCACATTTTGCTCTAGCCCTATTTAAAACACCTGAATATACTCTTTCAGTAGCTTTCCATTTCTGTTGCTGCTAACCTTATTACTTTTTGGGGGTATCATGGGTTTTAGTTTGTTGAAGTCCTGCTATAATTCTAGAAACTGCTGCTGTGTTTCTAAAAACTTGCTTTTTTTCAGCTTTGACTTGTCCTTCCTTGAGGTTATCAGGAACATAAAATGACAAATTTTCGTTTTTTCCTTTTTCCTTTTTTCCTTTTTTTTTCCTCCCAAAAACACAACATAATTATTTCAGATCATGCCAAACCTTTCCTTTTTTTCTCCCGAAAACACAACATGATTATTTCAGATCATACCCCTGACCCCTGTCCTTGCCTTGGTCCATGCAGGACTTCCTGCTTTGCTTAACCGACCTTTAGTTTTTTTTACTCATGTAAATTTTGTCTTTCTAGCATGAGTCAGCATAATAGTATAACAATGCTGATCTTCAAACAGTTTCTTTCTTTTTCTTTTTTTTTAACATTTAGCTATGATATCCACGTACACTTATTTTCTCAAGAATTAGAGTCATGTATGGTAATGTAATGTACAAGTATTGTAAATTTATAGTTTTAGATTTGGGACACAATGCACCGATAAGTTTTAAGAAAGTATTTTCTTTCTGCTACTTTATTTTGACAGTTTGTAACAAAATCCCATGTTTTAAGTGATCTGCAAGATACCCATAAATTACTAAGACGGCAAGTATTTCTTTTGTGGGGGGGGGGGGGGGGGGGGGAGGCGCACAGAAATCTTGGCAATTCAAAAATCATATAAGTTTTTAAAAACTATTTTGTGATTGTATACAACTGGGCTTGTATGGATAGCCTAAAAAAAGTTAAAGTTGTGGTTTTGTACCTATGTGTAATTGTGATCACTAACCTGACTCAAACATTGAGATATTTTTGCTGCTTGCAGAAGCGAAGAACCCTGAGACAGACTCTTCAGAAGCAACGAGAAGAGCAAATGCGGACAAACTCCATTTCCAAACAGCCGGCCTCCAACACTTCTCTCCCTATGGCTCCCAATGCAAACACAGCTGTCGCGTCCGCCCCCAGTCTTGACAGCAACAACACAAACACCATCACTCCATCGTACCGCAGGTTGTCTCTCTTGGAAGCCACCACCAAAAGCGATTGTCTTCCTCCGCCACCTCCAAGTGATTATCGGCCTCCGGGATATGTTCCTGCAAGATCGGGTCGGACAGTCACATGGCATAACCCTTCCCACAACCCTGACAATGTAGTTTAGCAACACTGTGACAGTAAGATAACTCACAACCCTTCCCGTAACCCTTACCATGTAGTTTAGCAACACTGTGACAGTAAAATAACTCACAACCCTTCCCACAACCCTGACAATGTAATTTAGCAACACTGTGACAGTAAGATAACTCACAATCGTTCCCATAACCCTTACCATGTATTTTAGCAAAACTGTGACAGTAAGATAACTCACAACCCTTCACATAACCTCGACCATGTAGTTTACAGCACCAATGATCATAATATTGAGGTATTTGAAGAATACAAACTTCCTCATACAGGCTAATTGTGTCAATTATTAAATGTATTGTTATTTAAGAGTTATAATTATTGTCTCCAGTCTTTAGTTTTAGACAAACTAGATGTGGACTGTTTGGAGAATTCTAATTTGCTAAAAGATCACGAAGTGGTTTTTACAAATTGTATGTGTTTAAGGTATAGTTATTTCAGAGGAAAATTATGAAATGAAAATGATAATACGTTCATGTTTTATTTAATTTCCTTTGTTTTCACTGTAGAGTGATAGGTGTTGTTACATATTTTGATATGTAATAGCTGTATTAGCTTTGGATGTAATAAAACATGGATTTTTGGGGGGAAGGGGGGAGGGGAGTGGGGGAGGGGAGGGAATTGGTACTGTTTGTCATCCTCCAAAAAAAGTGAATAAACAAAAAATGTTTCTGTTTACATAGCTTGAGAGTTTTTTTTCTTTAGTATTAGGAGGTTTTCTACGAAAAATTGATGTAAAAACTTAAATATCGTCATCTTTTTAGAACATGTTCTTTCTCTTTATAGTGTTGACTTCCCTTCACATGTTTACTCTATAAGTTCTCATTAAATGAATAGTGTGTAGGTTTACATACTTTCAGAGTGTTTTAGTTTCTTTTCATTTGTGTATATTATTGCTGTAGATACTGCCAAATTTTCTTATAAAGCTTTACAGTTTGATATTTTGTTTTCACGTGCCGATACTTTTATTGCCTATTAAAAGAACTCTTCTTGGAATAAATTTACTTTGAATATCTTTTTAATAATGATAAGAGAGCTGATCCTATTATCTGCTGGTTGTACTTGACATTTGTGATAATTTTCTGTTTACTGTTTTCATTAACATTTATGGTAATGTAACCTTATTTGTGATGATCATATAAGCCCATGCAACATATGGGCCTGTGAATGTTGCCCTGTGCAAAGCTCTGACACTGCTTGATTCTGTCCTTTTACCCCCTTTTCCTTTTATCTCTCTGGATCTCTCGAACTTTTATATATTTTGTTGCATGTGATTACCTTTGCTTAGATCTTTCTCTTTCTTCTTTTTGTCTTTTTGTATGGTTTGTCTGACATTTAAAAAAATTGAAAGTGTATAATTGGATTTACTGTAATACTGTTTTTGTGAATGGAAAGACTGGCTGGAATGAAAGGCTGACTGTAATAGTGAAAATGTAACAGTGCGGTAGAACTATAAGTGAGGCAGCAAGCAGGAATAGATCACAGATCACTTTTACTATTAATGAAATTTTCATATTATATATATATATATATGCTATAGAGTTACTTAAAAAACAAAAAACAAGGTGGTTTAAATGCTGCCTTAATTAGTAAAGGAAAAAAAAATCTTTTTAAAAATCTGCATTCAATGATTTAGGGCCTTAGAGGTTGTTTTTTTCTTGTGTATCTGAAGTTTCTTAGCTCTGTCAGATTTTAAGATATTTTTAATGGCAATTATTTTGAAGAACCGATAATTAGTTGAAGAGCATGATCTGTTACCGATGAGGAAAATTACATTAATACTCTCAGGTGTGTGCCTACATGTGTCTTCCACCTTAAACTGAATTTCCTCTCCTTTTGTCAAAGTAGTTTATGATATGAAAGCACACTGTTTTTATTGACACAAACTTCCATTGAACGAAGGTTTATTAAAGAAATCGAGTATGTCTTGTGAAGTATTAAATACAAATTTTGTCATAGTGGTGGTTCTTTTTATATATATATGCTCATGGTGTTTTGGATTTTTTTCCCCCACGAAATGCTGATATCTCACTTGGTTTCATGTTGGACAACTGTGTAGTTGAGCCTGGCTTGAACCCCAATGGGTTTTTTTAAGTTGAGCAGTTTGGGGAGTCTTTAAGGCACTCCACCCACTTTGCTGAATTCTGTCTGAGATAAACATTTCATAACAGTCAGAGGTCCCGCCTCATAGACAACTTCTCAGTGTTTAAAGGATATACATATACGTGTACCTTGTTACATATATAAATTTATTAAACACTGACAAAATTAGAAGTATGTCTGACTAGAGCCTGCTAGTTCTGTCGTATATGTAACTTTCAGATTTTTTAAACATAGTCATGTGCTTCAATTTCCCCTGTACCACGGTTGATTTGCTTTTTTTTACCCTAGGCAAATATCTTTTCTCCATTCTGATATATTCTCTTGTTGTTACTATGACCTTCTCTTGTATTGTCCTGTACGAGTCCTACATTTTTGTGGATGTATAGCAAAACAAACTCCAGAAATCAAGACTATGATTTTAGAAAATAGTGTACCTCCAACACACTACCAATTTATGGCATTTCATATAAATATGGGTTTTCGGTTGTGTTAAAAAAAAATTAAACTTGCATCAAGCTAGATCCATTATCTTGGTTATTTTGGCACTAGCTGGGTACCCTGTTCGATGAATGGACTCAAAAGAATTGATCGTCAAGTCCTTGTGGGATCAGTGCGCACATCTTGTGAGCTTAATATTTAGTAGAATGTGCAGGAAATAAGGTAACTAAGTTTTTTGTTTGGGTTTTTTTTCTAACTTTGAATAATCTGTCTTGTTGTCATTAAGGTAGCTTTTGTGCCTACTTTTGAGCAAAGGTTAAGAAAAGGAAATTGACAGGGACCTAGAAATATTCATTGAGCAAGATAAAGCTTGAGTCATTATGTTACCTTTATTTTAAGTTATACATAGTGCATGCAATGCAAATACCCTTTTGTCTTCTTCTCTGTTTTATCTGTGCATTGAATAAAGGACAAACTCGTCAAGAATAATTCTATTATATTACACTTATTTATCTCCTTTTCACGTTGCAATATCTATGAGCTTGACGTAGAATTCTTCTTGTTGTGTATGAACTTTTGAAGTTTTAAGAAAAGTAAGAAATGCTTTTTTGAGAGAGAGCAATGTACCTGTATCTAAGATGCCAGAACGTTTTGTGGGGGGATCGTTCCTTGTCAGAGTAAAGTAGATTCGAGGTACCTTCAAGTGTGTGTTTGGTATTATGGTCATCATGGTGCTACGACTGTCTACACGTCAACTCTATCTATCTATCTATCTATCTATCTATCTATCTATCTATCTATCTATCTATCTATATCTATTTGTCTGTCTGTCTGCCTGTCTGTCTGTCTGTCTGTCTGTCTGTCTGTCTGTCTGTCTGTCTGTCTGTCTGTCTGTCTGTCTGTGTAAAATCTATCCTGGACAAATCAGTCTTTGTCTTTGTTGAACATTCTGTCTCCGTTTGGCGTCTGTCTATGTATGTACATGACATACATTTAATTTTATGACGCTCGCGCGCGTGTGTGTGTGTGTGTGTGTGTGTGTGTGTGTGTGTGTGTGTGTGTGTGTGTGTGTGTGTGTGCGCGCTCGCTCACACGCACGCACCGCGGACGTGTGTGCGCGCGCGTGTGTGTGTGTGTGTGTGTGTGTGTGTGTGTGTGTGTGTGTGTTTGTGTGCGTGTGCGTGTGCGCGTGCGAGAGAGCGCGTGTGCACGCACGCTCTCACACCCACACCACCTGCCTACCCTCTTAACTCTCTGCGATCTGTAGGCCTGCGTCCCCTGATGGTTGGTGACTGGTGACTGACTCCCACAACCCGTTTCACAGCGGTGCTTTAGTTGGACAGACAGGCCCGGGTCCCATAATAATAATATAGCGTTATGGGACCGCTATGTTGCTACCCGTGGCTGCTGAACGTGTGGCTACCCCGGGCTATGTTTTGATATAATCCAGTAGTAAGCGGATCACGGGTGGTCGTCACTTTTGTATATAAGGCGTTGTCGTTCCTTCCAGGGAACTGGGACAAGGGACAGGGGGTGAAAAAGCGAAGAATTATTTCATCATTCATTTGGTAAGTGTTTTACAGCGCTCGAAACTGCATGGGGTCATATGAGAGCGCGGGACACATTAAACATTTTCAGTTGGTATGAAATTTTGAATTTTGCCCGGGTTGCGGCCGAAGTCTACTTTTATCGATTTTAGACTACAAAGGGATCTTTAACGTGCGCAACTTGCACAAGGGACCTGCGAGATTTTCGCCCTTGTCCGAGAGGGCTAGGTGTAGGTCTTTCTTACTAGAAGATCAGGGGTGTGGCTGAAAGACGGCAGTAATGAGCCAAACGAGTACATGTAGCAGTGGAAAGGCTGCAGAAAGAGTCAGGATCCAAGAGGAGGGGGCAAAAGAGGTGAGGGGGTGGAGGTAGAAAGTGGAGACAAAAGCAAACGACAGAATATTGCTAGAGAGCTGGAAAGGGGTGAAAGGAGACAATTTTAAACAAAATTTTTTTCGATCGTTACCCGGATTCGAACCCTGGACCTTTGCATGAGAGGTGAACGCCTTAATCTCTAGGCCACGAGAGCCCCCAATAAGACGTAGAATAACTTTTACTCCAATTATGTTTGTTTATCTCCAACAGGGAAAGGCTCACAAAACTTCGTAATTACTGCATTGGCAGCCTTGTTCGTATCAATTTACTCGTTCTTTCTAAATTTCTTTCTTTCTATTTTTTTATTTTTTGTGTTAAGGTATAAGTGATAGGTATTCGAAATGTTTAGGCCTATTCTTTCCTGAACAGTTGGTTGAGGTCTTCGCAAGAAGCGACCTAATTGTAGCCTTAAAGATGTAAGACTAATAGCAATCTTTATTATAGTAATATATTATAAGCGCCCCGAGGGCTATGTGGAAGAAGCTGCTGTTTTCTATGTAGACTGCTTTTTTTACACACACGCACACACACAGACACACACACAGACACA